TACTGTAATAGATATTATTAAACATCCTATATTTTTTAACTATTTAAAATTTAAGTAACATCTAAAATAAGACTATTCTGAGAGGCAGGTAACATTTTTGATGAAAAAAGAGCTAATTTATCGCCTTAAACTGGATAGCAACCTTTTCTGCACCACAAATGTCTTAAACTTCCAGAAATCCTTACATTGTGTTCGTTTAAAAATTTGTATTTTTTTACCTAGGTTTACCTATAGTTCTTATATAGTTCTTCATTGCTCTGTAGGACAATGATTTTATGATTTAGTTTACACAGTCTGTGTCGCTCGTAATAAATAAAGGTAAAATATTAATTCCGGCCTGAATTATTGTAAATCTGCCCGAACCCGGAAAAAATCCTTACTTATACGAGCGATTCTCGATATAGACTTGATGGTCTTCTGCGTGTGTCCGCTTTCTTTTTATTAGTTAAATCAAATACTTGTACATTTTATGTTTATTTATATTTTCCAGTTGTAGAAGAGTTTTTTTATCTTAACGATTTAATTTATTTGTATGACGATTTTTATACCTGTATAAATTTTAAGTTTCAAGTTCTTCATCAGCGGTTTTCTGCGACAAGACCTAATGGTCTTCTTTGAGTATCCGCGTTCTTTGATTTTTGTAATTTATTTTTACAATATCTTTACTGCTAATTTTTCTCTTGTATATTTGTATTTGTATTTTAAACATTGTAATAAAGAACAAACAAACAAAAAAAACAAAAACAAAAAAGTAAAAAAATAAAAAAATAAAAAAGTAATTTTAATGGCTAAATGCCGGCACATTAACTTTTTAAAGCTATTTTATAAATCAAGCACGCAAAACTATTTTGCAATAAAAACTATTGATGTAACAATTAATTTACTCTTTGGTATTTGCACGATAAGTGCGTTTGTTTCAATAACTTGCATTATAGCTATTAATATAACATTACAAATTGCAAAAAAAAAAACTTTTTTTTTAAAAGTTTTAAAACTTATTCTCTTTAAAAATAAAAATAAAAATTAAAAAAATTAAAATGCGACAAACTGAAAAAACTGGTAAATTTTATTTAAAAGACAAAATAAAAAAATTGCCGTTTCTCGATATGCGATTAACGAATTAATGGTATTCCGCAGATCAGTGAAATGTTCAATTAATAAAATAAAAAAGTTAGCATTTTAACAACCACCAGTAAATGCCACAATGTTTCTTAGAAAGTTAAAGTTAAAAAATACAGATATCTAAAACATCAAAACCGAGTTTAACATATTTAACTCATAGCTGTTTTTTATTTTTGATAAGGTTTTTTTTTCTAATTTACAATCAAATCTAGGTTACACCAGATTAGAAATCAAACTTAAATGTCTTTGTAAATCCCTTTTGGAAAAGACTGTGGGAGGGGATTCATCAAGGTTGTTAAAAATGAACATTTACTAACTGTTATTTGACATTGAGTTTTTAAATAAAAAACAATTGATAATAATGACTCAGGGATAACAAACAAAAAAATGCACTAAAAGAATGAAAACACAAACTAAAACAAGAATGCAAGAAGTTACGAAGAGTTAGAGAGAGAAAATAAGAAAACTAAAGAAAAGATAAAAGAAAAGTAAACTTTAATTCTTATTAAAAAGATAATAATTTTATATAGTCTTGTTTGAAAGGTTCAAAGATCGATTTCAAAATATGTGATCCTTGTTATAAAATGTAAAATATTTTATATTAACGACCTGTTTCTTATACAAAATAAGAAACAATGTTGACGACCTGTTACATGTGGAAAATAAGAAAAGGCTAGAGGTGTATTTAAAAAGCAAAAAAACGAGAACACAAGTAAAAAGTACAAGGTATAAGAAATATTTCCTATAAAAATAATATTGAACAAACTTTGAATTATCGAATTGCAGCTAGATGTAATTGTGTACAAAAAATTATTTAAATATTTGCAATAATGAACTTTTTAGTAAAACGCCCTTTTATTTGTGTTCTTCAACAATATTTTTTATGGCTTTTTATTTTTATTTTTTTAGCATGTTATTTTTATTTTTTTACTTTTGTTATTATTATTTTTTAAATCTAAAACTTAATAGTAAAAAAAACTCTTATTTATTATTAATTATTAATAAAAATTATTAATTCAAACAAAAAGCGAATAAATAAGTTAAAGATAATTTTAAAAGACGATTATTTAGTCCATATATACTACGATGATTACAAGACAAAATAACATTTTATATAACGTTACGACCGTCACGCTACGCAGAGTTAATTTTTGAAAAAAATAAGACTTCAGTACTGTAACTTTGCATACTAAATTATGTAACAGTATTCCACATTTCTGAGATGTTTCAAGTCATTTCCATTTTTGGTTCATTTTTAATAGCTTAAATAACGTCAACTGTTACGACCGCCACTCTCGCAGAATTGCCCATATATATATATATATATATATATATATATATATATATATATATATATATATATATATATATATATATATATATATATATATATATATATATATATATATATATATATATATATATATATAAATATATATAAATATATATATATATTTTTTTATATATGAAAAAATTTTTCGTCGTTATTATTTTGTCAGTAACCATCGTAGTATATAATTATATATACATTATTTTTTACATATATACTACGATGATTATAAGACAAAATAATAACGATGAAAAAATTTTTCATATAAAAAAACCATAAAATTATTTTACTAATTAATATTAAAATAATTAATATTATATATATATATATATATATATATATATATATATATATATATATATATATATATATATATATATATATATATATATATATATATATATATACTTATAAGCACAAAAACGACCCATCTGCTTACAAATGTCAATATTTACATTATTTATTTAAAATGCAAATATTTATTTACAAATAAATGCAAACTAAACAAGATGAGATATTAGTCATAATTTAGTGCATGAAAATTTTAACATTCTAGGTCATGTGTTTTCGCAATTTTTGTATTTTATTATTAATTTCTTTTTCATTGACAAATATATCAGAATTTTAGTTTTGAAAGTATTAAACTAGTTTTTATAAACTTTTAGAAAAAAATAATAAACTTCTAAGAAACCAATGATGGATAAGTGATATTTGTATAGTTTAAGATCATACCAAACTCACGTAGTATTAATAATCTAAAAAATAAAATCGGATATGTCAACAATGCGCTTTCTTGATTCCTTATTTGGCGTGTTGACGTACATATATTTTTGTTCTTTAGGTGTTATATTGTTATAGCATGTAGGTAGTATTAAATCGTTTAACGAGCACTTATTTTATGATTTAATATTGCTAAAACATTTATGATCGGGTGTATGATTTGTGTGATCAGGTATAGTACCGTCCGTTTCTAAATATGCACACCGGATTTTATTATTAATATTATAGTTGTAGCCGTAAAATATACATACCATATATACATACAGCGAGCACGGAAAACACCCTACTATAAACAACCAGTTTTATAAATATTCGTTCAAATTTTGATAGATCAGAAACATTTTTTTCGACTGTTCAAAATTTTTGAGTAAAAGCTGTACAATCATCTCTAGATCTTTTTTTTTTTTTTGTCTTTGTTGTTTTGTTTAGTGATAACTAAAAATATGGACAAAATTAAAAATTAATTTATTAATTGAATGATCAATTTTACTAATTTTAAAAATTTAATAATAAAAAAAAGTCTAAATAGTTAAATTACAAGTTTTTATGCAATTGCAACAATCAGTGAAACTCTTTTTTCCTGATTGAAAACTCAATCTGTTTTTTAAGTTTATTTAGATTTTCAGCTTGCCAGTTTTACTGTACACAAATCTTTTAAGTTCAAACTTTACGTGAATAATGCGACGAAGCAAGATCAGGTTAGAAAATGATACAACCGTTTTTATGATATTTTTCAAATAATTTTTCTAATCTGAGAAGATATTTTGAAATACCCACATTTTCATTGACTGTTTGCTCATGGAGTAATGTAATGCTGAGAGACTCCATTTGTCAAGGGTGCATTCCGAACGAGTAAACTTATCTTGTTTTTTTCTTTTTTCGTTTCAAGCTTAAATCATTTGTTGCTACATTTAGGTCAGAAAAACAAAATTCAAAAAAACAAAAACCAGAAGAACAGTTTCTAGATTTTCCAGAAATGTTGATGTAACTCAAATAAAAGTATGACGTCACTAATTTACGTCAGAAATGTTGATGTAGCTCAAATAAAAGTATGACGTCACTAATAACTACTTTTACGAAATATTGAAACCAATCTACGGCATCTTAAACGAACAGCTGCTTTTTGCGCCGGTGTTCTTTTATGTGTTTTGTTTTTTTATGATAACGAATACTAGTTGTTTTTTTTTTAATTGATAATTATGCATATGCACGGTTGATAATTATGCATACATACGGTTGATAATTATGCATACACACGGGTTGTACTCTAAAATACTATTTTTTATGATGCCTTCCTTAACTTTTAAACATCTTTTTCGGTTTGCGATCACTTCCAACTTTATCTTTTAGCCCACTATTATTTTTTCTTTAACACAAATGTTAGGTTTCTCTCTGCAGTAAGATTTCTGTAAAGTTAAATTGTTATCTACTTTTAATGCATCTTTTAATTTACGTAAGATTTTTTTTTTATTTTTTTCTCTGTATCTATTTTTTTAAGTTAATACCTAATAAAACAAAAGTCAAAAAAAAAATTTTGTAATAAAATTTTTGATTGAAATAAGGTTTTTTGATAAAATATTGACAAATAAAAATACTCTTTTACCGAAATTAGGTAATAACATTTCTATTTGACAGCAATTAAATAATCTGTACAGCTTATCTTGTACAATAAAACAAATTTTCAAAAACAAATATAAAAGGCTGAATAAACGCTTTTATGATGTTTTTAAAACTTATTTTAAAAATTTTTGTATTTGTAAAGAAATTACACAGATAAAAACTCACAAAAAAGATAAAAAAATAAAAATAAAACTTGATCTTATTCTTAGTATTATGTTATAAAAAATGGCGCACCATATTAATTGCATGTTGTATATGTTGCTCTATGTATCAATTACATGTCGCATATGTTGCGCCACATATCAATTGCATGCTGCATATGTTGCGCCACATATCAATTGCATGTTGTTAATACTTGAACTAATCAAAGGTAGTTATCACTAATATTTATTTTTTTTAAACTTTAACTTATGATTTTTTAAAATCAACTTATGAATTAGTAAATTTGTGGTTTACAATAACATCCTTGCCAACTATCGGCTATCCCACAGTGGGAAATCACATGGCCAAAAATCAAAAAAGTGACTAAGCTCAATCATAATGTTAGATAGTGGGTTTTGTTACTAATACCCTCACTAAATATTTTCCAATTTATGTAATCCTAAATGTTACAGGCTCAACGGTAGTGGCTTCTTGAAGTTAGGTTTTTAATGAATTTTCGATAAAAATTCCCAAGATGTTGGATTTTAGTAATTACTATTTTTTTTAATATACAGATCATTTAAAATTGAGAATATACACATCATTGGAAAGGTTTCAGTATAGGCTGTTAAAAACAAAAAATAAAATATTTCCTGATAATGTTGGTACTACAATATTTAGCATTGAAAGTAAAAATTTTATCACAATAATACTAAATTTTAACTTTGATGAAGAATTAAAAAACTGTACCAATTTGTACCTTTTCCATATTTTGATATTTTTTAGTCTATAGTGTCTACTAACTACCCTGAGAAGTGTAGCTGCGATCATCCGCGATCTTGAGCGCTTAATAATTTTAAAAAACTGATGTTTTTTTATACAAATAAAAAACTTCTTCGAATAGAAATAAGTTTTTTTATTCATTACAAAAAGTAAAAAAAAAAACCTGCTTTAAGACATGAAAGACTAAAGTAAATTTGTTTTCGTGTTGTTATTGAAAGGAAAAAAGTTATTTTTTATTTTAATTTTATGAGTTTATGCTTTTAAAATACATAAATAATTAAAAAAAAAAAACAATTTTAAAATGCATTTTTAATGTCCCACTAATCGACCAAAAACCACATGAATTTCTAAATGTTGTTAAAAAATTTCTTTTTACTTTGTAAGTTTATTGTTGTGAACTAAGATAATGGAGGAAATCAATTTAATGTTTATATAATGTTATATTATGTTTTCAGGTTTCAAAAAATGCTTTTGAAAATGTAAATAATAGGTTTAAATACATTGTTACTAGGATTCAAATCAGAGAAGACAAAACAAATGTATTAAGAAAGAGATTAAAACTAACTCTTGCCAAGTATGTTGCACTATGACATGCATCATATAAAAAAAAAGAAATGATTCAAGTTTGGCATAATTAATTTTTTAAAACAATTGATTTAGTTGAATCACCAAGTTATCAAGAGAGTTTAATAAATCAATCAGCAAAAGAGGACGACCAACAAAAAGGCCTGATGAATCAAGTTTTCGAACCAAAAGACAAACAATAGCAAATATATCATTTGATTCAAAAACGGAATCCGTCAAAATATTGTTAGTGACACAAAGAAAAGCATTTGAAAAACGTGACTATAATTAAGTCAAATTATTTAGTGCCGTTACAAAGAAAGCGTTACGAATTGTTATTGCTTTACTCTAAGCTAACCACATTGCAAGAGAGATTGACGTCTGAAGAAGCTTTTGCATATTTATATTTCTTGGATAACAAACTTTCAAGAAGTGTTTATAAAAATACCCATGAAAAAGCACCATGCAGATTTCTACCTTATCGAGTAACTTTCAAAATAAAAAACTAATGCTCACCTTTAAAACATCCATTGAAGTTACTGAAACAAAGGCCAAAGTTAAACTACAGGATCTTATGGATCACACATCCAAGTGGCTTGCAAAACGACAGGAAAAGAAAACTTTAAATCATTGGGTTGTAAACTTAATAAGATCATAACTTTCAGAAAATAAAAGATTATTCGATGAAAGTTGAAACCTGTCAACGAATTTAAGTTTAGTATAAGATTGCTGCAAAAATCTTTTTTTGGACTCATTGCCCTCATATTTGGGCAGGAAAGAGGCTTAATTTTTGGGGGTATTTTTGATCTCGGGCTTCAATCACCGCAGATTTTTAACAAGTTTGGAGCCGTGGAAAATCACCCATTATTTAAACAATGTCTAAAAGTATCACATATAAAAAATCCAATTGGTGTGCCAAAAGTGAATTTTCCCACCCCCCTTGATGCGCCTATAAGCAAGTTTAACACAAAAATAAAAATTATTATATTAAGTCACTTTTTTACTCAAATAAGGCCTAATATCCACATAAATACAACGATAATGTTTTTGGCCACCTATTTCAATGAAATGTTCCCACTATGCGGTGGAGTCATATCTTAAGCATTAGAACCGTTAGCAATATTTTATCACTCAGAGCCGCTACTTGCATACAAGAAATAAGTAGCAAAATATTTCAACACACTGCAAAGAGAATTCAAAAAAGCAGGTATTAACAAAAATACTTCATGCCATTTTTGGTTGTCTTAATGTTGTATTTATTGCCATGTCAAAAGAGTTTGCAAATTAATTTTAAAGTTTAAATTAATTTGCACCAAAGACAAAATTTAGCAATTTATTAAAACAATGTTTTAGTAAACTGCAAGTAAAATCTTTCAGCTCTGATGACGTTTTTATACGCACACAAACACTCACTGGATTTTAAAACACGGGCATGTTTCCGTTTAACATCACAAAAATTATCAGTCTAAATTACAAATTGCTAATTTAGACTGATAATTTTTATACTCTTCCCAGCTTTGGAAATTTAGACCACCTTTGTTAGACCACGTTAGTCAGCCCCCACTCAATCTCTACAAAAACCACTCGACCGACTTCCCGAAAGGTTACATATTGGTCAGCTAGATTTGCTGGTACTGTTGCATTAATACGATGTACCGATTTTGAAACTCTAGTTGATTCACCGTATGAAATGCAATCCGCTTGTAACAACTTTTATTATTCTTATTCTATGCTCAAGACGTCTGCCAACCATTGATAACTACAGCGCTTGTCGATCCCAAACATCGGATGACGCCATTTATTCAGAGCCTTATAAAAGAACGTCAGCAACTTTATTCTTCTGGTCACTATTCAGAGAGGAAAGTACTTGCAAATTGAGTCACCAAACTAATCACCAAAAAAAACGTATTTATAACCGATGCTTTTTCTCCGGTAAAAAAAATTTTTTGGCGAGAAGTCAGTCTTGCCAATAAAGGACAAATCACTCATTTCATCTCTGAGACATCAGCTACCCAATTGAACAACCATTTCCAAAATGTTTGGAGCGATAAGAAACAACCTAAACTCTCGTTCTTCATCAACCGTCAAGCAGACCTACCTCTTACCCCCATTTTTACCATTAATAACATTCTCAACCAACTCAGCAAGCTAAAGACAGGATCATCAGGACCCAATTTTAATCTAATCCTCAATTCTCTCCCCAATTTTACTCAAAGCTTAGAAATTGCCCCATCACTCAATGTTTTGTTTAGTTGCCTGATAGAAAACAGTTACTTTCTTGATCAATGGAAATCAGCGAAAGTAACGCCGATTCCTAAAATCACAAACCCGCTATCTTCTAATGACTATCGTCCAATCGCTATTACGTCCGCGTTATGCAAAGTTTTTGAACGCATTGTCACCAAATTCATTGTCCATAACACTAAGCCCATCTGGGTCTCAAACAAACAGTTCGGTTTCCTTCATGGTCGTAGTAGAATGGACGCTATTATTCAAGTGATAAAGGATTGTAGTTATGCTAAAGATAATAATAAATCAATTTTTGCAATATTGTTCGATTTTGCAAAAGCATTGATCTTGTTGATCATGACAAGTTGCTACTAGAGTTGGTGAATATTCTACTTAACTGGCTCACATCTTGGATCGCAGCTACGTATCTAATCGTCGCCAAAGAGTAAAAACAAGTAATCACACCACTGACTGGAAATATATATTAGACGGAGTACTTCAGGGTAGTGTTCACAGCTTAATCTTGTTCCTTCTTTTTATTTCTGATATAAATACCTACCTTCCACCTGAAACCATTTTCAAAACGTATGCTGAAGACATCCTGACCTACATTATCTATGATAAAGTGCCTGCCAATTTACCTCAATCCATTGCTGATGGCGTCGCTTAATGGTCTGTGGCCAACGCAATGAAACTCAACAGCTGAAAATGTAAAGTCATTAGAATCAATGCTCGGTGCTTCAACACTCATGCTCTACCATCTCCCATACTCAATAAAAATGAACTCAAAAATGTATACAGCTATGTATACCTCGGAATCCTGCTCAATGAGAATCTTGATTGGGATGAACAATGGATGCACAACACTATAAAATTAGTGCCATTTTTACTCAAGCGCCATAAGCTAATCAGACACTCAGCCCAACCTACTACAAGTCTACAGATCTTACGCTATTAGTCACATGATATATAGTGCTCTAGTTCTTACCTCTTGCAGTCTTGTAACAAAAAAAGAGATTCAACATTTCCACAAAAATGCCTTAAACATCATTGGAGTTGATACAACCAACTCTAACCGTCTCAATATTTGTTTTGACATTGAAGAATTACTTGACAAGACATGTATTAATATTCTTAAAAAGATCCTTGTAGACACAAGGATCTTTTTATAAATTATTTTGTAAGTAATGCAAAAATGCGCACACACACATACACACACATATATGTGTGTGTGTGCGTGTATGTGTGTGTGTGTGTGTGTGTGTGTGTGTGTGTGTGTGTGTGTGTGTGTGTGTGTGTGTGTGTGCGTTCATGTTTGCATTACATACAAAATAATTTATAAAAAGAGAGACATTTTTTTTCAAACACTTCCGCTCAATTATTATTCCGCTCAAATATTAATTTTAATAGATTTGAGTTAAGAAAAGTAGTTTGTGAAGTTCACTTTGCAAAACTTACTGTTACTTTTTAAAAAATTGGTACGAAAAAAAGGGCTTGATTACGCTCAGACTCACTGTGCCGTCTTTTTATTACTTTAAAGACGGGTTTTTTCCGACTTAATAATTTAAAAAACTACAATAAACGAACTTTTTCTAACTTTATAATATATTAAACATATAATAAGTTCAAAAAATATATACATATAAATAAATATAGTCATAAACGTTTTTAAAATTTAATTGCATAAAGAACTAAATATTTCAGATTGATTGTCAACTTTCAATTGATTGTTAATCCAACTCATTTTTGACAGATTTTGTTTCAAATTTATTATTCTTGATTCATACAGTGTTATTATATTATACTCAATAACCCAACAAGTTTATTGTTTACTTGCTAAAATATATATTTATTATACTTTGACTTCAATTTTTATTTCAAAATGTTTCAATCAAGCTTTGACAAGCAAGTTTTATTTCAAAATGTTTCAATCAAGCTTTGAAAAGTTTTTTTTTTCACTCAAAGAGGTGATTGTTTTAATAATAGTTATTTTTACAAGTTTGTTTCAAAATGGAAATGCTTTTTCATGTAGCAACACAAAATTAGATTTTTAAGTAGACAATTTATAAATAATTTAACGTTTTCACTTCCTTTTTTGACGATCTGTAGGCAATGTAGCTTCTTTTAATTTGAAAACTTCTAAACAAAAAGAAAATATTTCTCGTTTTTTTGTGCTGTAACTTGTTTTTAACGTATGTCTTGTTTTATGTTGTTCCAAATAATAAAACTAAATAAAAAATTAAATAAAGAAAGAAGTCATTTTAACACTAAAATATCTCCAACAACAACAATATCAATAACAACAAAAACTACAAAAATAAAAACAGAATAAATAACAACAACATAACAGGATTTTTTAAAGTAAAAAAGAAAATACTAGAAAAGTTAGATCATTAATAAACTCTTTTCCAAACTTTTTTAAAATAAAATCATAATTTTCTCAGGTTAATTGATTGACACTTAAACAACGTTGTTAAAAATGTAAAAAAAAAAAAAAAATAAATAAATAAAATCAAAACCAAAAAAAAAATAATATGAGCCTAATATTTTTAGATATTATTGGCAAAGTGTTTAAGAAAATTAAAATATCGGAGAAATATTTCCTTTAGCTGCCAGATACCCCAAATTTATTACTTGCAACTTTAATTTTCAGGTTGTTGAAATAAAATTATTTCTATAAAGTTAAACATTTTTTAATAATGTTTTTGAAATTTAAAAATTTTCTAAATGAATAATAGTTTCTGAATTCATAATTTATATATTCATAATATTTGAAACCTAATAGTTTTTTAATTCACATTACACATGTTTAAATTAGATTTTGATAACTATTTTTATTTTTAATAAGTTCGTCAACATTTTCATTTATACCTTTTTTTGAGAGATTTTGTCGAAATTAAAAAAATAAAACTAATTCAAATAGATTAGAACATTATTTTTCCATCAATAGATTCTAAAAACTTTATAGCTTTGTTTTTTGTTAATATAAGATTGTGCTAAAGAGTAGCATGATTGAATATACTGCAATGCAGTATATTCTGTCATGCATATCAGTCATGCATGCAATATACTGCAATGCAGTATATATACTGCAATGACAGTATATACTGCAATGACAGAATATACTGCAATGCAGTATATCCTGTCATGCATATCTGTCATGTATATCAGTCATGCATGCAATCCTTAAGTTATTTATAGCATATTTAAGTCAATTAGGCCAATCATTTATGCAGTATTACTGCATAAATGATTGGCCTAATTGACTTAAATATGCTATAAATAACTAAAAGATTGCATGCATGACTAAAAAACACAATGAATAACTAAAGGATTCAATAAATAATTAGTTCATTAATATAAAAAGTGTTAAAGTAATTTTTTGAAGTAAAATTAAATTTTTTGTTATATAACAATATGATTATATGATCAACATACAACGTTATACTGCATTCAATGTATTTTTTAATCGTAATTATTTAAATAAATAGTAACAATTCAATAGTAATAACTTTATAATAAATAAATAACTTAATTAAATAGTAATAACTTATACAATTAAAAATATTATAACTATTACTATTGCATAAATATTACTAAAATATAAATACTACTCTAATATATATATATATATATATATATATATATATATATATATATATATATATATATATATATATATATATATATATATATATATATATATATATATATATATATATATATATATATATATATATATATATATATATATATATATATATATATATATATATGTTAGACTTGTCTTACAAAAGAAATTTGGTTGTGTATATGACCTTATAGTCTAGCCACCAAAACAGGATTTCTAACGTTCTAGGTTTTTACTGAATGTAAGTCAATAAATAAATAAAAAAAATATACTAAAAAAATAAAACCTCTGGCATTTTTATTGTATTTTTTAACAGCTCTCAGTAGGCAGATCACATAGAATCTTACGTAAACTTTTATTGTGAAACAAATTTTCTTTGATTTGATTTTGAGTTTTTCTTTCTGCCCACTCAAAGTTATACATAAAAATATTTACTTTTTTTGTTAAAAATATAGCTTAAAGTTAAAAATAATATTTGAGTGGGTAGACTGAAAACTCTATACCATGCAAACGCTATTAGGTTTTTTAGTTTACTTTTAAAAGTTTCTTTTTTAGAAAAAAACAATTTTGATTCATTTAAAAGCAAGACAATACGATATAAAAGATGTGATTAATTTGTCTTTGAAAAAATGTTGCAGAAAAAGATTACCGTTAAATCTACATTAAAACTGAAATAAATTGTTCTTCCTTTAATTTTGGGTTGATGGCGTAAACAATATGAACAAAATTTGGTATAAATTTTTATTAGTTTTAAGCATAAACGTATCATAATAATGTTAGTAATATTGTTTTACATAAACGAGATTTCCGACAAAATCATAACAATATTATCGCAACATTATTTTAACACCTTTGCAAAATGAAAGCAAAAAGCATAAAGCATTTAAATTATAATTAATTTTAAAAATTAACCAAAAATTTTAGCATTGGATATAAATAAAAGAAGATCTTTCTCATACTAGCTTAGATTTGTTTTAATATAAAATACGTTGGTTTAAAAAAAATGCAAAACTTGTTTTTTTTGGTCAAACCTGTCAAACTTATAGCTTTTTATGCTTTTCGACTTTTATAAATCCAACTAGCACAAGTCAAATTGTATTTAATTTGGCTCTAATAGAGTCACAACTCATCCCGTGTAATAATATTAACAGCCTCTATGAGCCGTTTTGAATAGGATTGATTAATTAATCTCTCTCTCTAAAGTTAATCTTTTTGATTTTGATTGGTTAATTTGTATAGTATCCATAGTGATACCAGTTTTTTTTTTTTTTGTAATGAACGGCGTAAATATGAATAACTTTTTCAATAAACAATTTATTTATATAATTCCAGCATAAATATGCTATAATTCGTTGCATAAATATGCTATAGTAGATACACACACACACGCACGCACAGACACACAGGCCCGTAGCAACCGGGGGTCAGCATTTGCCCCTTCAATAATTTTTCAAATAAATAATTTTGAAAGAATTGACTGAATAAAAAACGAATAAAAATAAAAAAGGTCCTTAAACTATTTTGGAGCCCTTTAATGCAGCATTGTCCCCCAATATAATTTTTGTTCCTACGGGCCTGACACACACACATATATATAAATACAAGTATATATATATATATATATATATATATATATATATATATATATATATATATATATATATATATATATATATATATATATATATATATATATATATATATATATATATATATATATATATATATATAAACACACACACGCATACACACACACACACACACACATATATATATATATATATATACATATATATACACACACACACACACACACACACACTTATATATACATATATATATATATATATATATATATATATATATATATATATATATATATATATATATATAAACACACACACACACACACACACACACACATACACACACACACACACACACACACACACACACACACACACAAATATATTTGTGTGTAATCATTATAACAGATAAACAAATGATAGATAAACCTTAGGAAAGGCAAACATAGGTGCAAGAAAGTATAGTAGTAGATAGTAGCTTGATTGAGATGTAGATTACTTGAACTTTTGATGAATAAAACACTTTGAGAGGACTAAACCTGCAGATGCATCTTCCGCAGCTGTGAAGTCTATAGCTAATAGTTAAATCTTAAAGCAGTTATCTTTTCCCCGGTCAACTCTGATAAAGTTGCACCTAATGCATAAAGGAGAAGACGTCCAAGACGCGTATACAACAATTTATATTGAAGAACTACAAATAACTACAATTATTAAACGGAGAAATAATTCTTATTTGTAAAGTTCAACCCTAAATTCTCTCTTTCTGATTATGTACGTCTAAGTTTTTGATTCTGGTTGTCCTATTTAGCTTTGCTTTATTTTCTTTAGTCCACATCCTGGACAAAAATAAAGCAAATCTAAAAAGATTTGTCAACTACCAAGAAGGAGTAATTTAATAAAAACTGGGTCTTATGTTTCGTGTAAATTAATTAACAACTAGTCGTCAATTGTTAAACAAAAAATATTCAAAAAATGTTAAAAGACTCCTAAATTTACCGTTGAATAACAAGTTAAAACAGTAGAAAACTTATTAACCAGCTCTTTAACATGAAATCCCTTATGGTCATCAATGATTAAAAATACTTTTGTTTTGCAGGTGATAACATTTTTTCTTTTCAACATTTTTACTTTCAACCAGACTGCAACCGAATTCCAAAAGACTGATGTTCCAGAAAAAAACTAGATGAATAAGAATTTTTGGAGCACTTAGGAACAGTACAGTAAAAGAATGAGAATTATTAGAATGACAAGTAACACAAGAATGAATTTTAAGTAAATGGTACAACAGACGCAAACTCTTTAGAGCAGTGCCCATTATAGTATTTATAGAAAAGAGAAAGAGAAGCAACATTACAACAATGTGATAACGGTTGGAGGTTGGCTGCAAGAGCAGATTCAACTATGTTTATAATGTGTTTTTGGATCTTGTCTAAAGAAAGGGCATCATTGGAAGACTCGTCTCAGATATGGCAATAGTGTTTCATACAAGGACGGATTTGAGATTTATAGAGTTAAATAATAGAATCCTGAGTAAGAAAGTAGCGAGTACGATAAAGACATGCAATCTTAGCAGATACTAAATTTGCTATGAATTTGATATATGATTTCCAAGATATATCGGAAGTAAAATTTAATCCTAGAAGATGAAGGATAGATGAGACATCGAGTACCTCACCGTTCACAAATATAGGAAGATCTAGATTATTGCGATAACGATTAGCTAAAAAAATTTAGCTTCATCTAAGTTAAAGTTCACCAGCCACTGAGAGCTTCATACTGTAGCAGAACATGCCTGAAAATTTTGCATACTACACAGATATCAAAGAAGCATGGCCAGAAATGTTATTATTGTTATAATGTTGAAAACTGCCATATCTAACAAAGGTCTGGGCCGTTGTTTCCTACTTCCAAGGCTGCATCAATCAATACATTAATTTATGTTGATGAATGTTTAGAAAAACGAGTTTTTTTTGTTCATTCCCAAGAACTATTGCAACTTTGATAAATTATTTTTTCAAGATTTAGCCTCTTATTACTCTAAGGATTCTTCAAATTGGATGGCCATGTCAATTATGCTGATTAGGAATACAAACTACCATATGTGTCTCACACCCGAATAATTATGAACACTTGGGGAATTTGGCTTAAAAGGCCTACAGTGGATGTTGGCAAGTTTTAACAGAGAGAGTTATTATTATTTGCATTAATCCAGTACTGAAATAAATGAAGTGGATGTATCTATAACTCCGGGCCCCTCAGTTTTGGGGTCCTCGATTCAAAATAATAGATTTTTTTTTAAAGAAACTCTGAAAATAAAAATTTTGATAAATGAAACGAAAAGGATCCTCCTGCTTTAAAATACCCCGGACCCCCAAAAACTTTTAATCCGCAACTGCATTAAAAACTAAAAAAAAAATTGTTTACATTTTTTTATGAAAAGTATCAAAGTGAAATGAGGATTTCAGATGATGGAGATTTATTGCAGATAATAAAGATTTATTGCAGATGATTGAGTTATATCGCAGATGATGGAGTTTTATTCCAGATGATGGAGTTTTTACATATTAATAAAAAATAACTGATTTATATTCAAAGATAAATACTTTGTTTTAGAAAAATATCTATCTTTATTTGTTTATAAGGTAAGTTTTTGCTTTGTCCGATAACTTATGCATCTCCCGTTATTCCTTTTCAGATTGATATACTCAAATTCGCTTTATAAATCTATTATATAAAACTATAACGATATAAAACTTGAGTTTTGACGACTGCTGCATTAATTTATACGAAAATCTGTAATCACTTAGAGCTTTTATATGCACCTTTACAAGTTTGGTTTACTAGCGTAACTTTGAAAAATTGTTTATCTATTGCTTTCAAATATTTGATATCCTGAAAATACTAAAAAAAAGTCTTTTATTGTGGCTGAAAAAATTTAAAATTTTTTTTAAATAATTAAAACTTTATCTTAAAATTAATATTTACCATAGTTACCAATGTTTTGGTCTTCATACAAGTAAGTTAAAAAGTTAGTAAAAATAATTAAATAAATAAGGTTCCTAATACATTTACTTTTCTTTTTTTAGATAACATACATTTATCGATTTAACGATGAATTTATCAACGATTGCTGACTTAAAAATCAATAAAAATATTGCAGATTTCCCTCTTATTGTTGCTTTTGGATTTATATTTTTAACGGGAGGTGTTGGAAACGCACTTGTAATATATGTCTTTTGTTTAAAAAAAAAGACTAAAACTGCTGATTGGTTGATTCTGTATTTAGGAGTAGTAGATTTTTTCTCATCAGTTTTTAATCCACCTTTGTATATTTATTTCACAGTTTTTAAGCTTAAACAGTGGCACTTTGGTAAAATTGGGTGCAAAATTCTACCAGCATTAGGACCAATAATGTCTTCTATTTCCTTCGGAGTAATCCTCATTTTTGGAATTGATCGATACCTAGCAATAGTCTCCCGTGTACAGGGATCTGTTTTATCTTGGAAAACAGTCACTATAGCTTTTATAGCTGATGTAATTTTTTCAATTTGCGGGTATCTTCATTATATAATAGGATTAAAATTTTATTCATACTTTGGAAATTCACTTTGTATTATCCCTGCTGAGAATCTATCTTACGATGTACCAAATTGTATTCTCATTATTTTTCGATTTTCTTTTTTTGTTGCTGTCCACACTTTTACAACTGCAAAAATATTTTCAACTCTAAAAAATTGTCGACACCTGTCTTTTAGTAGGGAATTACAACACAGACATCGCCAGGACTCTAAAAATACTATAAATGTGCTAATAACAATGGGAGTGGTGTTGAGTTTACTTGTTTTCCCAAAAGAGATTTTACATTTAACATACAGTTTGTCTTGGTTAAAAAATGGAAAAAAAATTATTAATACACCCAATTTACAAATCATAAACTCGTGTTTAAAAGTACTTCATACATCAAATAGCTGTGCAAATGTTTTTATTTATTCGAAAATGCACAACGTTTACCGTAAAAACGTCGTTCAACTTTTTTTCAAAATATTTTGTAAACGATCGCGTTCAAGACAAAGAGGGTTAACTGAGTTAAGTCTTATTACAAATCATTCAAAGTATTCTACAAGAAAATAAAACAATTTAAACTTTCTAAATCAAATCTTTTATTATAAGCTGAAAAAAATTATTATATTTCGTGTTTGAAAATCACGTTTACTAAGTTTTTTTCAATTTTTGTAATGAGTTTCATATTATTGTTGTATCTTCCTTTATATTAGGGATTCCGTGCCCATGAGCACCACGGCGGCCGGTAGCAATTTAACGCGTACCCGCACGTGTTAAATATGTTTTGTACATGCTCTCAGCAAGCACAAAACATATTTAACACGTTTAAAACACGCATTATAATGCATAAATATGCTTTTTAGACGTTTTAAACACGTCTTGTTCTTATTGGACTATATTTATGATAGGACAGAACGGGTTGGTTTTCACACTTTTTACTTTTTAGAGGATTTATATTTTATTTTTAATTAAATCAAAGCTAAACTTTGCACAAAGGTTTCCAGTAACTATTACAACCATTTCATGACACGGCTGTTTCAGATTGAGCTTTACTGGGTTTACGGCTTCTTGTTTTTTTTTTGAAAATTTTGACTTAGGGGGTGTTACTAAAACATTTATAACTTTTGAAATATTAATTTTGTTTTGTAAAAGCAATAAAATGTTTTATCATACGACATTTAATACAATAGTAAAAAAACTTCTTTTAGTTTATAAAAAGCGCAACAAATGATAAACTTGGTTAAATTTTAGTAATTTGTTGTTACTTTTTATCAAAAAAAATCAGAAAAATATATTTCTGATAGTTATTATCAAATACACTCATTGTTTAACTATTAATAAAATAAACTTATTTTATTAAATTACTTATTTGTTTAAAGAAAATTAAAACAGTTTTTATTAAAGTCTGCAAGCAAACCGCATTTTTTGCAAAATTATGAAAAATGTTGTTAAAGGGGGGATTAGCTGTTAAATGAGCACATTTTTAAATCTAGAAGTTCTTGTTTTAGAAAATAATTCACTAAATTTATAAATTCAATGCATTATAAAATAAAACCAGATTTCAAGTTTAAAATATTTATTCTTAACATTTTAAGCTAAAGCCTTTAAAAAACTTAAGCAATTCTTTTCTATGCATACACTTTTAATAATATGGTGTTAGGTTGTTAATAAATAAAGATTCTAATAAAATAATTCATGACCAAAACTGAGTTAAAGTTTTTGAATTAACCTCGCTTTTGGTAATAGAATTATTTTATGGCACTTGAATCAATCTTTTTACACAAAAAAAAAACGTTTCTTTAAATATACAAATAGCTAATTTAAATTGTTTGATAATGTGATAAAAAACTTTGATTGATCCATTAATAAGTTGATCCATGAATAAGTTCTTTAAGTACAAAAGAATCTTTGAACACCTAGTTGATAATAAACAATGTTTTGCGCATTAATGCGCAAAACATTGTTTACATTTCAAAACAATCACGTGACCTTAAATTCTGTAAGTCCCAAGCAAATATGTAATAAATTTTATGAAAACAACTTTCTAAGTGAGACGAATTTTGAAGTATATAATAAACAAAATTAGGCGGTTTTTATTTTAGAATGGTGCATAAATCTAGTGCGGATTTAATTTTCTTTAAATTTTAGTGCGGATTGCTTATTTTTTGTTTTTTAACTCTTTTTTAATGCATTTATATTTTTTATTTTATAATTAAATAATGAAAATCGTATTATTTTTGTAATCCGCACCAAATTATTGAAATTTCAACCCATTCTGCATATAAAAATCAAAAAATTGTTTGCTGTACCTTTAGCTATATTATGAAATATGTTTTCAAACTTGGCTAGTTTAGAAACAAATTTTTCTAATTTAATGCATTAAATTTTTCTAATTTAATGCATTAAATTAGAAAAATTTGTTTCTAAACTAGCCAAGTTTGAAAACATATTTCATAATATTTCATAATTTCAACATATTTCATAATTTCAACATATTTCATAATTTCATATTGCATTAAATTTTTCTAATTTAATGCATTAAATTAGAAAAATTTGTTTCTAAACTAGCCAAGTTTGAAAACATATTTCATAATATAGCTAAAGGTACAGCAAACAATTTTTTGATTTTTATATGCAGAATGGGTTGAAATTTCAATAATTTGGTGCGGATTACAAAAATAATACGATTTTCATTATTTAATTATAAAATAAAAAATATAAATGCATTAAAAAAGAGTTAAAAAACAAAAAATAAGCAATCCGCACTAAAAATTAGATAGAATAGACATTTGTTTATAAATATTCCAAATTTCAACCATGAGGCATGTAGCTATGTTATGAAATCTTAGTTGACCCAAGACAGGTTTTCTGTAAAAGCCACAAAAAACAGAAAAAGTGATCCCAAATCGTTAGCAATATTTTAACAATAATATTTTCATTTCGTTTAATGTAAATATTTATTTAAAAAAAAAAGATAGGTCTTTTATAATTTTTTTTTTTTTGAAGATGAAAGCGCTTATAGGAAAAAAACACTATTATTTTAAAGTTATTTTTAAACTTATTTTGCGGAAATACTTTTTTTTTTTTGATAAACACAAAATAACTGTGACGTCAAGCTCGCATTTATATTGAGTGAAACAGCCGTGATGACATTGAATTAAATATGTTTTGTTGTAAAATCATTTTTCAAAGACTTCTACTGTGTGACAACCAACCCCAACCACGAGGCTGGTTGTCACAGAGTGTGGGGTTGGTTGTCACATTTCTCGGTATGTTTGGATTATAACCAGTTAATCCAAGTTTTAGTATAACTTAATTTTGTTAATATAGTTCAGAGACTAAAGTGTTTCAGATTATTCTGAAGACAAAATTTCTTTTTTTAATAATTTCACCTCTTTAAGACCGAGGCTACTATAGTCGAGGAGGTTACTTATTGTGGTTACAACCCTCTCTCAACTCTCTAACTCCGAAACGCAAATCTTGACAAATAAGGTCGCTGCGCGGAGAATCAAGTTGAACGCGGACTTTCTGGGACGTGGAGTAACCTTAATCTTGGAATACTCTTAATATAAAGAAAATGTAATATACTGAAAATATTAGTTTTTTTTCAAAAGTACTACACAATTTACACTATAATAAATGTTTTTAAAAATGGTGTTTTAATGTTTTAAGTAGAACAGATTTCACAAATAAACTGCAGTAAGCCTGTTGCGCATTCTTCAAGAGCCCATTATTTGGAAAGTTGACATTAAATCCACTAATGTCTTGATCTGCTTCGCAAATGATTCAAAACAGTAGATACAAAAGTATTCTTTATTTTTAGATAAATTGAAAACTTTGAAAGTGCTTTTTTTAGCAAAATTTGACTTAAACATTTTTTTTTACTTCCACTCACATGTAATATAGGATTTTTAGTCTTACTAGTTTGCTTGTTTTTATCATCAAAAAGCCATGCTTTTACAGGTGATTTAGTTAGAATGTAGTTGAACGCTATTTCCTACCTCTTTTTGATACTAACCTTTGGCCTGCTTTAGACAGAGGCCTAATACTCTCAGCTGTTATAAATTTTTAAAAACTAATAGAGTAATTGGGTCATGATCAGAGATTTTATTTGAAAGTGAATCTTTTATACTTCTGTCTAGCTAATTAGCCGGTATCTGAATAAATTCTTTAAACCTTCTATTTGGTGGTTCTATATTACGGATAGCATAGTTCTTTATTTGAATTAACATGTAAAGAAAATAGATTTGGGTGATCAGTTACATAATTAGGATAATAATCAGCATCAGTGAAAATATCAAGATTTTATGGGTAAATATCCTATGCAGCATAAACACTCAAAATAATCATTAGAGATGCAGCCTGTGATACAGCTTTAAATGTAGCGGAGAGTTGCCGAACTTGGAACAGCGCTTTAATTGGAACACTTGCATTTATTTTTGAAAAAAAATGAATTATGGCTATGTTTTGTATTTTTTAGTGAAAAGCATTCATTCATTCATTGAAAAATTAAGATTAGAAAAGATCAAGAAAATTCTAATAATAAATAATAATCAAATATAAAAATAGTTTAAACTTTATCCATACGTCATACTTTATCAATACGTATATCAATACAATACAAACTATATCAATACAATACAAACTTTACCCATACGTCAATAAGTCGTGAAAAACACGGGAAAGAATCTTCTGACAGTGATAATAACATTGATTTTTAACATTGATTTTTAGTAAAACTGATAGGAAATCAGGACTAAAAACTAGTAAAGTTTTGATATGAAAGAAAAATTACCAACATAATCTATTCTACCTTTATAGTAAAGATATTTCTTCATTATCATCAAAAAATAAAAGACAGAATAGAATATAATTACACATTTTAAAGCTTATTCAATATCTAAAATATAATTTAAGTTGAAGCGCTTTTTTTCAAAACTAAGGCAAAAAAAAGTTATACCTTGATAAACAGTTTTTTTTTAAATCATTCGAAAAAATAAAGATTTTTTCGACTGATTTAAAAAAAAAAACTTTCAAATAAAGGATTGTGTTTTATTAGGGTTTGATAGTTATATAAATAAAATTTATATGTGACTATAGAATCATCTTGTTATAACTATTTTTGAAGATCATAGTGGTCTTGCTGACGTATTTCTTTGACAACCATTTGAAAACATCAGAAAACGACGTAATGAGTTTATCTAATAATGACGAAGTGTTGTTACAAAAAGTTACATTTTTTTTTTCTTTTTTTTGCATTTCATTTATGGGTGAGTCTATTTGCACGCACGTGTGAATAGACTATGTCTTATTATAGTCTATTCGCACGTTTAAAAAAAAATTTCAGATTAGATTTTTAATATAAAATCTCTCACAAGCAAAAGATATTCAATACTAAAGTCATATATTTTGAAAGCAATTAAATTTTTTTCATCAACTTTAATAAAAATAAATAAAATTTCTTAAACATAATAAAATTTTCATTCAAAAAACTAAGAAAAACGTGCTAATAGACAGGGCCGGTGCACCCTATAGTAGAACTAGGCAATCGCCTAGGGCGCCAAAGTTTAGGGGCGCCTAAAAATTGATAAGTTTTTTTATATGCTAACAAAAAACAACGCTTTTGCTCATTGAGCAATATGTACGTACATTTTACCGAACGCAATCTAAATCATAACAAATATGGCGGCGTCTTTACAATCAGAGTGATTTTCATAACAACTTTCAATAGTTAGTCAACTATATTC